AAGAACAAATAATATATATATATATATATATATATATATATATATATAATACAATCTTAATCTTTAAATTAAAATACTGATCCAATATTATCACACTCAACATAGCAATTATTATATTTATAATAAGATTTATAAGCTGCTTAATCCTTCGTGTCAAATTTCTATAGAGATTTTTTGAAAGACTTGTATTCGGGGATTTTTCGAATCGCTGATTATGAATCAGAAGAAAAAATTTTTAAATTCAAAATAGTCGGTTTAATATAGCAAACCAATAATTTAAAAATTTTATTTTCATAAAAATCAATACATGGAATTTTTTTGTGTCGCTAAATCTAAATCTCAATCTCAAAGTTTTGAATTTCAAAAATCCAAGATAACAGAATTAATATGGAGAATCAAAAACAAAAAAATATTAAATTTAAAAAATACAAAAAAATATATATAAAATAAAGAGAAAGAAAAATACAAAAAATGGAATTTCATCACTATTCCCTCGTCTTATATTTTGTTAAGAATGAGACTAGAACTGATAATCGCAAATGTATATACAATAAATGTTATTCTCTCGTATTTTGATTTTTGAAAGTTTTGATTCAACATTTCGCAGTAAAAATCTCCGCATAATAAGTTGAAGAATAATGCAACTATTTTTTTGATTTTTTATTATTTTAATTGTCATCTTGAACCTTCAATATTCCAAGATGTTGGCCTCAAATTCGGATACAGCGATTAAAAAATCTAGGAAGTAAGTTCTAAAATAACAAGATTATTTTTTGGTCCACTATATTGATTTGGATTCCATCATCTTGGATTTTAAAATTGGAAAATTCTGATCTCAGATTAGAATTCAGTAACCCAAAAGATCCCCGAACACTATTATAACGATATTCAAATATTTGATAGAAAATACGATAGAAAATATTGATTTTATATTATTAAAAGAGTATTAATTTGTAATAAAAAAAAAATAAACGTAGCAAAAATCTAATAAAATTTTGAAATACTTTAAAAAATCCTACATAATTGCCTAAATTGCTGTTTCGATATTATATTGATAATACTTTGGTTTAAAATAAATTTTTATCATAAAAAGCGTAAATTTTTATTGATTTATTTATAATAATTATGAAAGTAAAAATTTATGATATCCTACTTTTTTTACACTTCTAATATAGATAATCCTTATACTTAAAAAAAATTCCTTTCCGGTAATTCCGAATTTTTGCTGCAGTGACTCTGACTTATCGGTCTGATTTATCCGCTGAGTCAAATTGATTGATGTAAACACGGTAGTGTTTCGGGTATCAATATAATAATAAATATGCGTGCATCCAAAAGGACACATTAACAGTATATTTAATAAATTGCTTACTACTATTGCATAGAATGCTTATTCTTTTTCTGCATGTCGATTGCCAACGTCGGTGGCCAACGATGTTGATGTTCGCGGCGAGTTTGACAGTGCGTGATAATTTATTTCGGAATGTAATAACTCATGTTTATGTCTATTATTTTGTAGGTAAGTCAAGTTCTATTTTTTATTTTATTATCTTTTATGTATGTATTTGTGTTTTTCTGCAGAAATGAAAGCAAGAAATGTTCAGATACTACGGTTTGTATAGATTGTTGTGCAACTCTTGATCATATTATGATATATTTGTTTAAACAATATGTCAAAAAGATATATTTAATAATCTAATAAAATTGAATTTTTTAAATAAAACTTTATTAGAGTTATTTTGTCAATGAAACTGTGTTAATAAAAGTATAAAAAAACAAATTGTATTTGTATCAAAATTACATGTATCATACATTTCACAAAAAGAAACTATAAAACAACATCCTGAAATACTTCAAATCTTAAGCAAATTAAGAAAAAAGTATTGATTATTATTTACACAAACGTTTCTAATTTCCTTGATATTAAAAATTGATATAATTCTGACATATTTTAGAATCAATATGTAAACAGGTAAAAATCTAATAATTTGATCTATATCTTTATCGAGATACATATTAATGTACATATTACTGTCATATATTACATAGTTGTTAAAATTTAATTTAATTTAATTTAAATAATTTAAAAAGATATCAAATCGTAATAAAAAGATATATTTAACTATTATTAATAAAACAGAATCTTCTTAATGAAATGTATTAATAATCATATAAGAAAAAAAGTATAAGAAATATATATTTTAAATATTGTAGTATCATTAATAAAACTGAATTATCTTTTCAATGAAACTGTATTAATAAAAGTATAAAAAAACATATTGTACCTAATCAAAATTATCATTTTTTTCAGGATTATCATTATATTAAATATTTTAACATCTATTTTTCTTACAGGTTTATGTAAAACTTATCAAATACTTAGGAGAGACATATGTTACATGAAAATTATCAACGGTCAAAAGAGATAAATGATATTCTAAATGAACCTGTTATGTGTACAAATAAATCTCTAAATTAACGACGGGATTAATAAAATTATGGATTTAGATGAGTATAAAAATATATAAACGTTACCATTTTATTACATGAACATTTCAATTCAACTTAAGATCTTTTTTAACTAATTAACTAATTTTAGTATTTTTTTATTTCACGATTTTTATAAAAATTTATAAATATTAATTGAATGGCAAAGATTAATATTTAGAAGAATAGAAAGCCAAGTTGAAAAAATTTTATAATTCTTTTATTTCTTTTTATGAAAAAAAGATATTTATTTATTTATTTCAACGTTTGTTCTTCTTGCGAGTTAAATATAATAAAAGTTATATTATTAAATTACATGTTATTAAATTCTATGAAAATTATCAACAGTCAAGAAACATAAATGATCTTAAATGAACCTGTGTATACATATGCAACTCTACTAACGATGGAGTTAATAAAATTATGGATTTAGATGAGTATAAAAATATAAAAACGTTATCATTTTCTTAAATGAATATTTCAATTCGACTTCAGATTCTTTTCAACTGATTAACTAATTTTAGTATTTTTTTATTTCACGATTTTTATAAAAATTTATAAACATTAATTAAATGGCAAAGAATATTAACATTATCATTTTACATAAATGTTTCAACTTGGCTTTCTCTCTGTAACTGTTTTTATAATCGTATAATTAATTCAGTATTTATATATATAATAAACATCACATCCGAAACGAACTATGACTAATTATCGCCGCGAAACTCAACGATGTCGTCGACCGCCAATCGGACACGTGGAAAAAGACCAAATACATATGTTATCTCGCTCATTCTTTCGTTCTCTATCCTATTTACTCTCGTTGTGCGAATTATAAAAAAGAAAATCTCAAGTATAAAAATGTCGAGATGCGCTTTTCGAATATAAAAAGATGGTTAATACTACAAAATGTCTGGTATCACTATAAAATTACCTTTTTAAAAAAAGATAAAAAAAGATGTCAAGTATAGTGGACGCTTGAAAAAAGAAACTGTTGTTTTTAACCAAGTTAAAAAATAGAATCTAATTGACAATATCTTTTATTTTCTTTTTACTTCAATCCATGTGATAGTAGTTTTAATTCTTTAAAAAAAAATTATGTTATGTTAATGAAATTGCCATATCTAATGCAATTTTTGTGATCAAGCTAAAAAATAAAATCTAAATGTAGTAGTATCTTTATGATTTTTGTATTCATTGAAGAGCCTGCCTATTCTAACTCAAATGATACTAGTTTTAATTAAAAAACAAAAACATTTGTTTCCATATTACCAACTCAACTCGAATGATATCATTTGTATAAAAGATTTGATATCAATGGCACCAAGTTATAATCCAATCTTCCTAGTCTCATCCAAATGATAGCCTTAATTCTTTAAAAAAAGAAAATTTCGTTTCCACATTGCCAACTCAAATGATTGTAATGTGTAAAATTTGTATAAAAGATTCGATATCAATAATTGGCGCCAAATTATAGTCCTACAAACATGGAGCTACAAGTCCATTTTAGTCAAATTATATATTTCAATTATATAAAAGATTTGATAAAGCACTGTTTTAAAAAAATAAACCTTAAGTAGTAGTATCTTTAATTTAAAAATAATAAAAACCAAATTATATCTTTCTATCCATTTAAGACTTCTTTTTCTAACTCAAGTAAGTGGTAGTAATTATTTAACTTTAAAATATTATTATATCACAAAATCGCTTTACTCAATCTACTCTTTTTATCACAAAAAAATTAAAAAGTAATAGTATAAAATAAATGATAAAATTTTATTAAATAAAAAAATTTTTATGTAAAACACTTGGCGCTGCTCAGATC